CATTATTATTATCATCACTAGATTATAGATGAAGAAACTGATTATTAGGAAGGTTTAGCAATGTGTCCAAGATTATATAGCTAATAAGTGTAATTGAGTAACTTGTTGAAAACCAAAAAACCCTTAAAGACAAAGTTGGGTAGGGAATACAATTTTTTTTTTTTTTTTTTTTTTTGAGATGGAGTCTAGCTCTGTTGCCCAGGCTGGAGTGCAGTGGCACTATCTTGGCTCACTGTAACCTCTGTCTCTCAGGTTCAAGTGATTCTCGTGCTTCAGCCTCCCTGAGTATCTGGGATTACTGGCACCTGCCACCACGCCCAGCTAATTTTTGTATTTTTAGTAGAGACGGGGTTTCACTGTGTTGGCCAGGCTGATCTCAAACTCCTGACTTCATGATCTGCCCGCCTCGGCCTCCCAAAGTGCTGAAATTACAGGCATGAGCCACCGCCCAACCGGGAATATTTGCACCTGCAAGAGGGACTAATTATTAAAGAACTGGCTTTTTAAACAAAAATATAGAGCAGGTATTTGAAGTAAAAAATCACAAGGATAGACAACAGCTCAAATTGTTATCAGTTACCAAGGCTGCTTGGATGTGTGTGGGTCAATTTTGTTAAAATCTAGGTGGTCATTTCTATTAAAAAAGTTATAACACATCAACACCAAACAACAGAAAAGAAAATCCATATGTCCCTGTTTTTCATGGTACATCTGAGACTATAAGAAGGGTAGGCCTTTTCTAGACTATGGAATTTAAGTTTCAAGAAAAAAATCATTGATTGGGCGCAGTGGCTCACGCCTGTAAGCCCAGCACTTTGGGAGGCTGAGGAGAGTGGATCATGAAGTCAGGAGTTCAAGACCAGCCTGGCCAACACAGTGAAACCCCATCTGTACTAAAGATACAAAAAAATTTAGCCAGGCGCCTGTAGTCCCAGCTACCTGGGAGGCTGAGGAAGGAGAATTGCTTGAATCCAGGAGGCAGAGGTTGCCGTGAGCTGAGATCATGTCACTGAATTCCAGCCTGGGCAACAAAGTGAGACTCTGTCTCAAAAAAAAAAAAAAAAAAAGGAAAAAAAATCATTTAAGCTGCAATATAAAGAATGGTCTTAAGGAAGGCAGAATAGACCAGTTATAGAAACCCAGGCAAGCCATTACAATGCCAAATTAAGGCAACGGCAGGAGGGATGGAAAGAACTGGACCAGTTTTAAAAAGATTATGGAACAGCAAAGGCATGCTGCAGTCCCTTCAGCCAAGTTGCAAGTTTTGAATAAGGAGTTATCCAAACATTATCAAATGCATCCTCAGTGATGACTAACTACCAGGCTTTTTACCAGAAACCCTCTTTACAAAAGAGGTTTCTCTCTGGTTAGAACACAGAAGCTGGTTAAAAACAATATTTCTTAGACAAATTGATCTTGAACATGTATCAAGGTTCACTGCCAGCAGGAGAATCGGAGAGTGTGTGATAATGAAAAGTTATTACAGTTGGGAAAACAAGAGTTTACATCAGCAACTAAGAAAAAAGCAGCTCATAAGTGGATGAATGTGTCAGAAACACATTATATATGAGTTATGTAGGAAATCTAAAGCAGAATACTGTGAAATGAAAGGTGTGTAGCTTATCAACAGTAATATAGCAAATACGCCACTCAACTAAGAAGAAAATGATAAGTCGGCATCTGGGGCTGTTGACTGGAATAACGAAGTTTCCTTTTCTTGTAGTAGTTCCTCAAGATTCCAGTTTACATGGAAAGTCAGAAAGTTGTTACACCCATCGCAGCAGCAGAACACCCAAGCAACAAATTCTAATTTTGAATAGGCAGGTGCCAGTGCATTTCTCAAACTGCAGACTAAGATGCAGAAACACGATTTTCCTGTTTTTTAGTTTTGGACCACTTTTCCCCCTCTAGCACTCCAGAGCAGGTTTTAATTGTTGTCAGGTGAGATGGTGAGTTAACTATGAGTGTTGAGTTGAGGGGACAGTGGGATGTGAGTCCAGCTGCAAGGTGGATATATATAGATCCAGACTCGAGTGATTTAGGTTGCAAATAAACAAATAGTGCATTTACGAAAAATATTAGAAAGGATATTCATTATGATTTAATCGCAGTTGAATGTAGGCAGCACAAAGGGCTTATACTGACTTTTTTTTTTTTTTTTTAATATACTGTGTCTATTTTGTTCACCACTCTATGCCCAGTGCCTGGAAGTGCGACTGGCACATAGTAGGTGTTGCATACATACATAGTTTCAGAATGAGTTTTTTAGAAATCAAAATTCGACAAAACAGTGCACATGGATTTAACGTTCCCTTTTTTTCCAGGCGAGGTCAGGGCGCCCTTTGGTTTCGCGCTTCTGCCCCTTTAAGAAAGTGGAGGAGAAAGAAAGCGCTGCTGGGAAAGAGGGCGGGGTCACGAGGGGCCGCCGTCCGTCCCGCCCCCGCCCGGGCTGCCGCCCTTTGCTAGCGCGTGGTTCGTTTTTGGGAGCAGCACCCTGAAAATATAAAGAATGTGTGGGCAGAGTCGCCAGGGCGAGTGACAGGCGAGCCCTGTTCTTTACTTCCGAGGGCGGTGTCAGCAAAGCTAGGTAAGGAGACAGGCAGGACGGTGTCTGCCCCTTTAAGATCGACTCCACCCCGCCTCTGGAGGAAAATGACGCCGTCGTCTGCACTTTCTGGAACGTAAACCTTTTCATCCCGCTCCTTCTCATTAACAGAAATACCAAGTGGCCACCATAGTCACATACTTCATAACCCATGTCTCATTGGTGCTGGAGCGGGAGAGGGAAGCGCCGGTCTAAATGACATGGGGTCCAAATCCAAAATAATCTCGTACTTGCTCTGGGTTACTTTGAAACCTTAGGCTGTGTTGTGTGATTCAAGGGACAGCCTGGTACTGCTTAACAGAATTAGTCTAAGAGGATACCAGGCCCAGAGAGACCCCTGCGCTCCCAGGACATTGATGTGGGGTAACCCTCCCCGCGAAAGTCTCTGCTGAGTTCACAAGCTATGACCTGACGTACACTTTGGCCTGCCCTATTTTGATCCTTGAATGAGTTGCTGATGTTTAAAAGCAGAAACTGGCCAGGTGTGGTGGCTCGCGCCTGTAATCCCAGCACTTTGGGAGGCCTAGGCGGGCAGATCACTTGAGGTCAGGAGTTCCAGACCAGCCTGGCCAACGTGACGAAACGTCATCTCTATTAAAAACACAAAAATTAGCTGGGCATGTTGGCACGTGCCTGTAATCCCACTACTCGGGAGGCTGAGGTAGGAGAATTGCTTGAACCAGGGAGGTAGTGAGCCGAGATAGGGCCACCGCGCTCCAACCTGGGCAGCAAAGACTCTGTCTCAAAAAAAAAAAAGGAAGCCAACATGTCAATATCTACATTTTTTTGATGATTTTGAGAAATTGGAGGATCCAGCAGCATGTTCCTGCCCGGCTCTTTTGAACTGTTTGAAAACACCACAGCCCCTCTGTTATTTTACAGCCTGCATCACTCATTTATGATGTCCAGCCCCTTGTAGGCATTTGGATTTTTGACCCTATTCTAAATACTTCAGTGGATTTAAGACTATTTAAAACATGTATACAGAAGAGATCCGAGGTCCCCAAACAACTGGGTGTATAAGTTGTGTTTAAGTTGCTGTTCCTCATTGTCATTTATTCTTATCCGGGTGTTTTTCTATATACATATATATATATTTTAAACAAGTCTTAGTGATCTATTGCACAGGTGTTTTTCTATTGGAGCAAATCTTTTCAGTTTAGGCTTGGTAAAATCGAACTATCAGATACTTTTACAAAAAGAGATTTAGGAGTTGATGTTCTTTTATGATATGACAATCTTTAATGAAATAGAGTAGTCTATATAATTTGTATTAATGTATCTCTGCCCACAGACAATAGACAATTATAGTTCGTTACCCCCCAGAACTCTTGGGTCGACTTCATAAAGGCAAAAACTGTGTCTGCCCGGTTAACTACTTGATCCCACCACTACAATATAAATTTCCTGAAGACAGAAGACTTCTGTTATTTTGTACACAGTTACCAAGCATGCCTACTTTATTAAATTTATGAAAAAACTTTAAAGGTACAATTGGCCCACAATATAAACAATGTAACAACATAGCAATATAAAATAACAATACAACAATAAAAAAAAACACAAAAATACCGTGTAACAACTATTTACATAGCATTTACATTGTAGTATTATGAGTAATCCAGAAATGATTTAAAGTACAGTATACCGCAGCATATGCCTAGTTTGTATGCAAATATGGTGCCATTTTATATAAACGACTTGAGTATCCTCTGATTGTGGTATCCTGGAAGCAAGGGATACTGGAACCAATCCCTTGAGGATACTGAGGGGTGACTGTATGCCTGATTTCATGTAAGAGGCATTTTGAGGATTCTTTCAAAATCAAATGCTTGTATATTTGTTGTGTTAAATTACTAAAAGGATTCTCTTGTGAAAAGATATCATTTAAAAAGATTGAATTTTCAGCCGGACGAGGGTGGCTCACACCTGTAATCCCAGCACTTTGGGAGGCTGAAGCGGGCAGATCACCTGAGGTTGGGAGTTTGAGACCAGCCTGACCAACATGGAGAAACCGTGTCCCTACTAAAAATACAAAATTAGCCGGGCGTGTTGGTGGTGGCCTGTAATTGCAGCTACTCGGGAGGCTGAGGCTGGAGAATCCCTTGAGCCTCGGAGGTGGAGGTTGCAGTGAACCAAGATCATGCCATTGCACTCCAGCCTGGTACCTGGTGACAGAACAATACTCTGTCTCAAAAAAAAAAAAAAAAAAAAAAGGTTGGATTTTCCCAAATTGATGCACCAAAGCTTTCATCTGAAATGAACTTGCACATGTGAATCATCAGATACAGAGCTTATATTGTAATATTTTCTTATTATATAATAGGTTCTAGAAATGTTGCTCTTCCTTAGAATTTTCAGGTTTTTTTTTGTTTGTTTTGTTTTTTTTTACAGAGAGCAAGAGATTCCACTTGAGATCAGGGTGGGAGACAGACCCTTGTTCATTCTCCATGAGGAGCAGCCATTATCAACAGAACATTGACGGAACCTCGTTTGGGAAAAGGACTGATGGCTCTGAGTCTAGGTTGGAAAGCACCCAGGAGCTGCTGTGGGCTCCTCCTGCAGACTGTGCGAAGCAGTGGTCTTCTTTTGTTTCCTTGTGGCTGGTGTCCCTGGAGAGGAGCTGGAAGCTTTTTGGACCCTGAAAAAAAGGCTTTCCTGGAGGAGAACACTGAAGTCACCAGCAGTGGCAGCCTCACCCCTGAAATCCAGTTGCGGCTTTTGACCCCCAGATGCAAATTCTGGTGGGAGAGAGCTGACCTGTGGCCCCACAGTGATCCTTACTGGGCAGTCTACTGGCCAGGAGGCCAAGCCCTGTCTAGGTACTACCCTATCGAAATGGGAACTTTTAAGGCTGGTACAGATCTTTGCCCTTTTCAGTCCCCTCTAACTCCAGCCACTACAAAAAAACAGAGCAACGCTGGGCATGGTGGCTCATGTCTGTAGTCTCAGTACTTTGGGAGGCTAAAACTGGAGGATTGCTTGAGCCCAGGAGGTTGAGGCTGCAGTAAGCTATGATCCTGCCACTGCACTCCTGCCTGGCCTATCTCAAAAACAAAACAAAATGGAAACCGAAAAATCTTCTTGTTTTCTTTTTTCTTTCTTTCTTTTTTTTTTTTTTTTTTTGGCAGAGACAGGATCTTGCTATGTTGCCCAGGCTGGTCTTAAACTCCTGGCCTCCTCAGCCAACCCCAATTGCTGGTATTACAGGCGTGAGCCACTGAGCCTGCCCTTATTTTCTTATGTGTAGCAGTTTAGCCATAATTTTTGGTTGCTTTTTTGCATAATTTCCCCTTGTAACCCAAGCCTATCAAGGTATTTTCCCAAGTAGCTATCTCCCCAAGATAAATCCTGGAGTCAGCTGTCAAGCGCCTGGATAGCTATAAGTGATCCAGAAATCTCGCCTGTTATGAGGTTCATGGTTCATAGTGCATGACTATTGCAGAGTTCCTAGATGGAACCTAAACACCCAGTCCTTCAGCTCTCCTTTAATTCAGTGAATGTCGCTCCATCAACCTCACATTCCTTCCAGAGTTGCTTCTCTTCCCATAGAATAGTAGCTGTGAGTGAGTGGGCTGCTCAAAGATCCCCTCTTCTATTGGGTGCAGTGCCTGTAATCACAGTGCTTTAGGAAGCCAGTGCAGGAGAGCAGCTTTAAGAGTTCAAGACCAGCCTAGGCAACATGGTGATACCCTATCTCTACAAAAAAACTTTTTTTTTAATTAGCCAGGTGTGTCCTGTGCCTGTAATCTTAGCAACTCAGGAGGCTGAGGTGTGAGGATCACATAAGCCTAGGATTTCTAGGTTACAGTGAGCTATGAGTGTGCCATTGCACTCCGACCTGGGCAATAGAACAAGACCCTGTCACCATTTTTAAAAGAAGGGGCTGGGTGTGGTGGCTCACTCCTGTAATCCCACCACTTTGGGAGGCCAAGGTGGACGGATCACCTGAGGTTGGGAGTTCAAGACAGCCTGACCAACATGGGAAACGCTGTCTCTTCT